GTCAGAGCAGTCAGTGGTGGTAGCCGGGCACCATCTAGCTGTACTGGACTCAGTCCGGTGGAGGCCTTGGTAGCTGTGGACAGTTAGTCCTTCGGGCTAGTCTTTTCCTTGTATCCTGTTCTCTTCATTCTCCCTTGCTCCCAAGAAATATCTTATTTTATGGTTGGTGAAAATATACACAGCAAAACCTGCTTCCATTCAACAATTTCTAGACACATTGATCAGTGACATTGGTTATGTTCTTCACATTGTGTCAACATTTCGTTATTTCTGTTCTAGGTGTTTCACTCCTCTTGACTTAAACTCCCTGCTCTCCAGCCATCTCATCTGTGTTTTAAAATAGTTGTGTCCATTTGGTCTCATATAGACTCCTCTTTCTCTCACACTCTACCCCCACTCCTCAGACTCCACCTAAGATAGGCTGGCCCTCTTGCTAGTCCTAGAATGTCCTGGGTGCGTTCCGGCCCCAGGGCCTTTGCACTTGTTCCAATTTAGGTGGCACCCTGGTGGCTTTTTTTTTAAAAGAACTGTAGTACTCTATGGTGACAATCTTTACTTTTCGAGCTAAACTGTTACTTAGTTTAAAGGTGACTTCAGGGGATAGTTTAAATTCAGGGTTTGAAGAGTAACTCAGGGCCTTAGTCTCAGGGATTCCTCCAACCTCAATAGGTCCACTAAGTCTGCATTCTTTAAGAATTTGAACTTCTGTTCCACATTTTTCTCCCTTTCTGTCAGGCTTCATCTGTTGTGTCCCTGATGGATGACAGGTTTAAACAGTCTAGTCAGGGAGAGCCTTACTGAAAAGGTGACATTTGAGCCAAGACCTGCAGGAGCTGAGTGAATGAGATGATATCTGAGAGAAGAACATTCCAAGCCCAAAGGATAATCAGTGCAAAAGCCCTGAGGCAGGGACAGCCCTCAGGTATGCTAGGAATAGCAAGAAGGCCAGCACTGGAGGTGGAGTAAGCCAGGGGAGGGTGGGAGGAAATAACAGAGGCAGATCGTGTGGGACCTCGTGGGCCATAGTGAGGACTTCAGCTTTTACTCTGAGTGAGATGGGAGGCTGTTGACCAGAGAAGGGAGATGAGCTGACTTAAGCTTCGGGGATTGCTCTAGAAGGCGGCAGGAGCCAAAGAAGGGGGATCACTCAGGAGGTGACTGCAGTGGCCCAGGTGAGAGCTGCAGGTGACTGGAACCGGGGTGGAAGCAGTGGGGGTGGCAAGAAGTGTTTTGGAAGTTGTTGTTGTTAGTTGCCGTCAAGTCGATTTCGACTCACAGTGACCCCGTGCAACAGAGTAGAACTGCCGCATAGGGTCTTCTAGCCTGGAAGCAGATCACCAGGTCTTTCTCTTGAAATGCCGCTGGGTGGGTTCAAACTGCCAACCTTTCAGTTAGCAACGAGTGTTTAACTATTGCACCACCAGGGCTCCAACTAAGTTGGAATAAGGGCAAAGGCCCTGGGGCAAGAACACACCCAGGGTGTTCTAGGAATCCAATCGCAAGAGGGCCAGCATGTCTGAGGTAGAGTCGGAGGACTGGAGGTGGAGTGTGAAAGAAAGAGGAGCCAGGAATGATGTGCAGATTTTGGCCTTGAGCAGCCCGTAGGATGGAGCTGGGAGGTGCTCTGTGAGGCTGGAATAGACAGCCAGAAAGGTCAGCCATCAGATGAGGATGTCGAGTGGGGCCTAACCTTGAGCCCTTAGGTTCCTCCAGGGTCCAGGCCCAGATATTTAAAACACCCATTCATTTATTCATTTATTCATGCATTCACATTGCTTGTGTGCCTCCCTGTGCTGGGGACACGGCGTGACCAGGACAGCCCTGGCCCTTCCCTCACGTGGCTCACAGTCCAGTGGGCAAGACAGACCTGTCCCCAGACAGTGACAACCCAGAGCAGGCAGGCCTGGGACTGGAGAGCCCAGAGGTGGCTAGGGTATACAGTGGGTGCACTTACTCCAATCTGGAGGAAAAGACTTACCTGACAGTATGTAGCGGGAGAAGAGCTGGGGGTCTGGGCAGACCCCCGAGAGCCTGGGAATGTAAAACAGAGGCTGAAGAGCCTGCAAGAATGGAGCAGCAGCCAGTGGAGTAGGAGGCGCTGGGAGGTGATAGCAGGAGAGGGGGAATTGCAAGGAAAGAGGAGGGTGGGTCAGTGTCAGACCCTGCAGAGGTCATGCCAACTCTTCAGGGTCAGTCCTTAGTGTGTCTCTAGATAAAACTCTCTGGGCCACTCAGCCTCCCATCTTGAACCCTGTCCACCAGAGCAGTAGTCTTCAAGACATTTGATTGCATATTTTGTTGATTTTGCTTTTGTGGTTGATTTGTGACTTAGGTGACCCCGTGTGTTACAGAGTAGAACTGTCCCATAGGGTTTTCTTGGCTGTCATCTTTTACAGAGGAGCCCTGGTGGCGCAGCGGTTGAGTGTTAAGCCACTAACCAAAAGGTTGGTGGTTCAAACTCACCTCCGTGGGAGAAAGATGTGGCAGTCTGCTTCTATAAAGATTACAGCCTTGGAAACTCTTTGGGGCAGCTCTACTCTGTCCTACCAGGTCTCTGTGAGTTGGAATTGACTTGATGGAAATGAGGTTAATCTTTATGGAAGCAGATTGCCAGGCCTTTCTTCTGCAGTGCCTTTGTGTGGATTTGAACCACCAACCTTGGGTTACCAGCCAAGTGCAAACCGTTTACACCACTCAGGACCTTTGATCACATATATGAATCAATTTTTAAAAAAGTACAGCAGGCACCTGAGATATGCTTACTTATCTATGGATTATGTATAGACATTAATAATATTTTAGAAAACATACTTCAAGTATAGAAATTAACAAAAGAATGAGCTGGAAAAAACAGAAATCCAGTGTTGGCTCTAAAGGGCTCTGATGGTGCAGTGGCTAAATGCGCGGCTGCTAACCAAAAGGTTGGGGGTTTGAACTTGCCCAGTGGCTCTGCAGGAGAACGACCTGGCAATCTGCTTCTGTTAAGATTGCTGTTGTAGGCCACAGCAGAAAACTCTATGGGGCCAGCCTACTTTGTTACACCGGGTTGCCCTGAGTCAAAAATCCACTTGAGGACCGCCAGGTGGCCACACGCACACACACACGCACACGCACACACACGCGCACACACACACATACACACATGCACGCACACACGCGCACCCAGGCCTACCGGTACCAGTTGCCGGTGGTGTAGCCTCTGACTGCTGGTGACTCCGTGTGTGTCAGAGTAGAACTGTGCTCTGTAGGGTTTACAGTGGCTGATTTTTCGGGAGTAGATTGCCAAGCCTTTCTTCCAAAGGTTCAGGTGGACACAAATCTCCACCCTTTTGGTTAGCAGCTGAGTACTTTAACCATCTCCACCACCAGGGACTCCTCCCAGGCCTAGAACAGGGATTTTCAGATTTTGGCCGAAGACACTATACTTTGGACCTATATTTATCTAACCTATATATCTGTATTTATCTATCTCTTTATTGCCTTACACATGCATAAAATTATACAGTCCATGTCCCTGATTCCTGCATATTTATTCCCAAGTTATGTATATATGTGACTGGAGTCATATTTATAGATATTACAGTTTAGTGAGGGCAAGGCCCTGGGCTTTCTTGGGTCCAGGGTGACCCCTACAACACCCAGCACAGGACCTGGCATGCAGTAGGTACACAGGAAATGTTTGTGAAGTGATTGAATAAATGAATTCTATCTGGAGGCAACGGGGGGCTCCGGAAGGGAGTGACAGGGTCACGTCGATGCTGGTGAACACGCCAGGCTCCCTAGGCTATTGCTAAAGCTGTTCCCTCTGCCTGGAGACTCCTGCTCATCCTCCAGGGCTCAACTCAGATGCCCCCTCCTTCAGGAAGCCCACCCTGACCCCCTCTGGGCTCCCCCATCCCGGCCCTGCTGGCTCTGGGTCATTCCTCTCTGGAGATGGATCTGTCTCCCCCACTGGACTGGGAGCCCTGGTAGGGGAGAACCAGGGCTGTCTTGGTCCCCACTGTGTCCCCAGCACAGGGCCGGGCACAGAGCTGGGCCCCAGGGACCATGTGTGGAATGCAGGACAAAGTATTTCAGCCCCTCTCCGTCTGGCCCGCTGGATCCTGGGCGTTCTCTGTTGCTGACGGTTTCTCTGGCCCACAGTTCCGGAACTTCAAGATCATCTACCGACGCTATGCTGGCCTCTACTTCTGCATCTGCGTGGATGTCAACGATAACAACCTGGCCTACCTGGAGGCCATTCACAACTTCGTGGAGGTGTGCGGCCGGGCAGGGCGGGCTGGGGAGGGCGGACGTGTGCGCAGACGCTCCTCTCCGCGCCTCTCTGTGGTGGATGGGACTCTCTTTCTCCACTGCTGTTTCTTTTTGTCCCCGTCTTTCCTGGTGTGTTAAAATCTGCTCCAGTGACGGACGTCCTTATGCCACTATGTCAGTCTCTGTTTCTGTCCATCCAGCCATCTCCCCATTTGTCTGTTTCCCTGTCCGCCTGTTCAGTTCTTTCTCCTCCTGTCTCAGTCTGTTTTTCTTTGCCATCTTTTTCTATTATTGTCTGATGATCTTGGCTTCTATTTCTCCCCGTCAGAATTTGTTTTTGTTTTTTTTAACTGTATTGTGCTGTAGGTGAAAGTTTGCAGTGCAAATTAGTTTCTCATTCAAAAATTCATACACAAATGATTTTGTGACATTGGTTGCAATCCCCGCAATGTGTCAGCAGTCTCCCTGTTTCCCGTTAACACCTGGGTTCCCCGTGTCCGTTCGTCCAGTTTTCCTGTCCCTCCCTGCCTTCTCGTCGTTGCTTCTGAGCAGGTGTTGCCCATTTGGTCTCATCGACTTGATTGAACTAAGAAGCACGTTCCTCACGTGTGTTATTATTTGTTTTATAGGTTTTCATTTTGGTGATCTTGCTGTCATCTCTTTCTGACGACCTTTGATCCACTCTCTCTCTCTGTCTCTCTCTCTCTTCCTGCCCATCTCTTACCATCTCTGTCTTCTCCTCCCAGGTCTTAAATGAATATTTCCACAATGTCTGCGAGCTGGACCTGGTGTTCAACTTCTATAAGGTAGGCTCTCGGTGAAGACGTAGGAGCCAGGGAGCGGGCAGGGAGGAGGGTGGGCTACAGCCCCTCAGCCTCCCCCGTGTCTCCATGGATGTCGATTTCCTGACTCTCAGGTGTCAGAGTCCCTAGGTTCCAAGGTTCGGAACCGCGTCCCAGAGGTCCCTTCCCTCACACCAGGGTCACCACTTGACCTCCCCCCACTCAGGTTTACACGGTTGTGGACGAGATGTTCCTGGCTGGCGAGATCCGTGAGACCAGCCAGACAAAGGTGCTGAAACAGCTGCTGATGCTGCAGTCGCTGGAGTGAGGGGGGCGGGCGGCCCCCCCCCGTCCCCGGACCCCAGCCTCCCCGGACTCGCCCGCTCACTGCCCCTTGCGGCCCCCTGCCTCAGCTGCCTGGGAGGAAGGGACCCAGCTGGGTCTGGGACACAAGGGAGGAGGCTGCCCCCAACTCCCCTCTGGGTCCCAGCTGGGGGTGGAGGCCACCTCCCGTGTACTGAGTAACCATGGTGTTGTCATGTGATGTTGTGAGTGTGTGTGTGTGTGGAGCCCGCAATAAACCTGTGGACCCCACCTGGCCTTGCCGTCTCTCAGCCCTGTGCCTGTCATCCCCAGGAGCCACACTTGGAGGTTCTGCCATTAGTCAGTCAACAAACACCCCTCCTCACAGAGCAATGCGGGGGATGCAGACACACATCAGACCTGCTCCTTTCCACAGAGGACCTCAAGTCTGAAAGAGGGTAACAGATTTGGAAACCACCCACTTGCTACTAAAATAATAATACTGATACCAAGAAACGAACAAAAACCATTGCTTTTGAGTCAGTTCCGACTCATGCCAACCCCATGTGTTACAGAGTAGAACTGCTCCATAGGGTTTTCTTGGCTGTAATCTTTACAGAAGTCGATTGCCAGGCCTTTCTTCCATGGTGCTGTGGGGGTGAGTTCGTATCGCCCACCTTTAGGTTAGTTGTCAAGAGCTTAACTGTTTGTGCTACTCAGGGGCCTTCAATAATAGTACTGATTGTTACGGCCACTGTAGGAAATGAATACAGTCCGTCTTAGTTTTCTACTGCTGCTGTAACACAAATACCACAATACATATGGGGGGTGGACAATTTAATCCATAACAGTCTTTAGCCCACATGATATGAGGAATGTCATTTTATTTTATCAATAACCAATTGCTAATAAATAAAATGCATTTGTTGAGTAGTGCCAACTTTCCCCACTGAGCTGTAACAAAATAGATTTGATTCACTTGGAATCCAGATTTCTGGGTTCATGAAATTGGGGTGACCCACCTAGGCCATCCACCCTTAAGTGTCCTTTTGAACCTTAAAAGAACTGGTTCCCTGGAGTCACCTTCGGGTCAAACAGTAGCTGAGTAAGCAGCTTAGTGGAGAGGTTTTGGCCTTCGGCATTGGGTTCTTTTGGAAAATCATCTGTGTGCATCCAGCTTCAAGAAGCAGTAACTTCAGGGCCTGATTAGAGGCTGTGTTTTAGGATGTATGGCGTGACCTTGGTAATTCTGTTTCTCTAACTGATGGACCCTGAAACCCTGCTGTGCTTTGATGTTATCTTCTGAGAAATTAACACAACAGTGACATATATAACCCATTTTCACTCTCCCCTTTGGAGCGTCTTCCCAACATGTTTGAGTGATGCTGTCTAGTTTGACTCATATCTACTCACAATAAATATATTCTGTTACACTAAAAAAAAAAAAAAAAAAAAAGTACTGATATATCACACCTAATAGCACTGAGTATTTCCCAGGCAGTGTTCTAAATGATTGACACGTGTTACCTTCCTTAATCCTTACAACAAGGCCAGGAGGAGGGATTAGCATCCCCGTTTTACAGGTGAGTCACTGAGCCCAGGCAGGTTGAAAGACTTGCCCAACCTCACACTGCTAGTAAGTGGCTGAGCCAGGTTGTGCCCCCAGACAGCAGGTGGCTCCAGAGTCCTGGTTCGTAACCACCAGGCTCAGCGGCCACTGGAAGCACAGGTGCTGCACGAGGTGCTGTAGGTGCGTATGTGCTTCGCACCAGTGCTGTTGGCATTTGGGGTGGGCCAGTTCTTCACGGTAGAGGGCTGTTCCACATGTGGCTTCCACCCACCAAATGCCGGGAGTGGCCCTCAGCCATTGTGACAGCAGAAGGCAGCCCCGTGTGTTTCCAGTGCCCTCTGGAGTGGCGGTGCCTATCCCTGCCCCCCCCACCACACCCGTCCAGGGCAGAGCGTAATGGCCGCCGACTGCGCCTGTGACCAGGGCCTTGGCAAGCTCAAAACAATGCCAGGCCTGTACTGCCAGCTCTTGTTAATGTTACAGCCTCCCAACTGCTGGAGGTAATGCCACGTGGCAGCCAAGAAACCTTTGGGGAACTCACCTCTTGTGTCTCAGTTTCTTCATCTGGGGAATGGCTCGATAATAGTTTTTACCTCACCGGGTGTGTTTGAGGATTAAATGAGCTAATCTATGGGAAAGTTTAGAACAGTGCTTGGTACTAGTAAACATTCATTCGACAAACATTAAGTGCCTGCTGTGTGCAGAGCCCCATCAGAGACACCGGAGAGTGGGCGCTAGCTATAATCATTACACACAGGGAAACAGGCTTGGAGAGGTGAATTCCTTTATACTGGACACGTTTTATAGATATAATCATCACAACAGTGTACAGGTAGCCCCGATTTACGATGCATTTGAGTTACAGGCACTTACAACACTACATTAGTAATATATATTACATACAATGTTGCACCGTGTGATTTGCTGATGTTACCTTTGTCATGCCAACCCTCAAAGACAAAGATTGGTTTTATAAAGATACTGATAATAAAAGAGAATAATAATGAAAACTGGGAAAAAAAATGAGGTAGTCAACTTACGTCAGAACCGACTTACAAGGGGAGTCGTCCAAAAGGAACCCTGTCGTAAGTTGAGGACTAACTGTATTAGGTTCTTGTTGCTGTAACAAAAGACCACAAACTTAGTGACAAAACACCACAAATATATTATCTTACAGTTCTAAAGTCCAAAATGGGTTTCACCGCGTTAAAATCAAGGTGTCATCAGGGCTGCATTCTTTTGGAGGTGCCAGGAAAGAATCTATTGCGTTGCCTTTTCCAGTTTATAGAGGCTGCCCGCGTTCCTTGGCCCATAGCCACTTCCTCTATCTTCAAAGCCGGCAGCATAGCACCTTCCCAACTCTCTCTGACTCTAACCCTCGTTCTTCCCTCTTTCACTTATAAGGACTGTTGTGATTACATGGGGCCCACCCGCGTAATCCAGGATAATCTCCCCTTCTCAAGATCCCTAATTTAATCACATCTGCAAGGTCCCTTTTGCCAGTAATGCAACATAGCACAGGTTCTGGGGATTAAGATGTGGATGTCTTGGGGGCCGTTATTCTGTCTACCACGAACAGCTAACACTTAATGGTGTTTACGTCAGAGTTGGTTTTGTTAGCATCAAAGCCTCACTCTGGATAGGTTAACCAGGAAAGGGGTTCATTGAAAGATATTAAGCAGCTCCGCGAAATCTCCAGGGTGTCGGGGGCAGGGCAGAGAGCCAGGCTCGGGCCTGCAGAACCCGAACAGTGCACAAGATGGCGCTGAGGACCTGTGCTGGGACACCACCATCGCTACCCTTGTACCCTGGACACACCGTTGCTGCTAGACCCGCTGCTCCAGCCTCTGGAAGCTTCCTGTGACTGCCACTGCCCACAGGCGGGCTTCTGCCTGGTCCCGACAGCATCAGCTACTGTCCCCCCATTCCCATCCCATCAAGAGCAAAAGCAAACCAACTCCATCATGGAGCCTGGTTGTGTTCCCACAGACTAGCTGCAATGGGGTCCGGGGAAAAGCACGCAGCTGTTGTGCGAGGGGCTCAGCCTCGGACGGTGGGGGTTTCCTCAAGCGGAGGAAGGGGGTTCAGATGCTGGGTGGATGAAAGGAAGCCCTCTAACCGTTCCCCAGCCAGGATCCTGCAGAAGGGAAGTGACGAGGCCAAGAAGAAAGCCAGGTGCTCTGACTTCAGCAGCCCGAGCTCTCAACCACTGCTCTCCAGAATATTATTATAGGAATAGCGAAAGCTACCACCCACAGCGTTCCTATGCCAAACCCTGTCCTACGGGCTTTATGGCGATTATCTCAGATAACCCTCATAACACACCTAGGTGTCTCTGTCTCTATTGAGATATAATTCACATACTATAAAGTGTACAATTCAGTGATATTTAGTATATTCACGAGGTTATGCAACCATCACCACTGTCTAATTCCAGAACATTTCATCACCTCAAAAAGAAACCTTGTACCCACTGGCAGCCACTCCCCGTTCCCCCTCCCCCAACCCCCTGGCAGCCGCTAATCTGCTTTCTGTCTGTATCTCTGTGGATTTGCCTATTCTGGACATTTCACAGAAATGGAATCAGGCAACGTGTGGCCTTTTGTACCTGGTGTCTCTCACTCAGCATCACGTGTTCCAGGTTCCTCCATATTGTAGCCTGTATCGGTTCATTCCTTTCTTGGCTGGATAATACTCCATTGTACTGAGTTACCACAGTTCGCTTGTTCGATTTGCTTATCCTCTCAGGGTGTGCGTGCTCGTGTGTTTTGTTTTAATCTTCATTGGGGTGAAGTATAGGCAACAAAACATTTCAACCATTTTGACATGTACAATTGAGTCACATTAATCACATTCACCATGTTGTGCAACCATCCCCACTGTCCATTTCCATTTTTTTTTTTATCACCCTTAACAAAAACTATACCCCTTAAGCAATGGGTGCGTGTGTGTGTTTTTAAGGTGGAAGGTATCACAGCATGTTTTATGCGGATGGGAATCGTCTGATGGACAAGGGATGGCCTGATGGTGCAGGAGAGAAAGGAGAAGGCTGGATCGAGAAGGGTGGGGTCCAGGGACACAAGGAGGAGTTGACCCCAAGGAGCAACACAGGCAACTCTTCCCGAGGACCAGGTGGGAAGCAGGTGGAGCAGGCGCCAAGGCAGGTGGGTGGTGAGTATGGGAAAGGGATGTTGAGGCAGTTCTTTCTCCGATTGTCTTGGTGACTTGGGAAGCAGGGCTTTGAACTGGTTTGTTCAGATTCGAGTTCCTGCTGAAAATTTGCATTTCTACCCTGGATATACTGAATCAGAATCTGCAGTTTAACAAGATCCCTAGGTGATTCTTACATATAATAAATTTTGAGAACCACCATTCTACTAGTGGTTCTCAGAATTGGTCCCTAACCGGCATCATTAGCATTGCCTGGATATTTGTTGGAAATGCACATTCTCATCAGAGGTTCCAACAGGAACAAACTGGTTCAATGTCCTGGTGGGAGGTAAGACCATCAGCTGAGAGGACGAGTGCCTCTTAGACAGGTATCAGTGAGGCCATTGGGTGTGGTGGAGCCAGCCAGGTGGAGAGCACAGCAACTTCTAAAGCTGTAGTTTCTACTCCACCATTGCCTGTTGTTGCCACCTGGAAATGTGAACACAGTATGGCTAGATCTTCCAATCAAATTGATGGAGAAAAGCAAAGCTCCAAAAAAAGGCAAGATAATTTGGAGGAAGAATATGAGAGGACTTGCCCAACCAGAAGTCAAAATCACCGTTCACCTTAGCAACTAAGAAAGCATGGAATTTGCGTAAGACTGGATGAATAGATCAACAGAAAAGAACAGAGAGTCCAGAAACAGGCCCACACATACATGCATACTTGATATGGGACAGAGACAGCGTTTCAGATCAGAGGGGGAAGGATGTGGGTTATCCACATGTGGCAGGGGATTGGAGCTCTACCTCATACCATACATAAGTCATCTCCAGGGAATCAAAGCCCCAAGGGTGAAAAATAAAATGTTTAGAAGGAAATATGGCAGAATACCTTTGTGACCTTGGGGTCAAAAATGATTGTTTCATGAAAATAATTTTAATTAGTTCATTTAAAAAAATTAATAGACTTTATTTTAGAGCAGTTTTAGATTTACAGAAAAACTACGCAGGAAGTAGAGTTCCCAAATGCTCCCTCTTCCCCATGCAAAAAAATCAGCCAGTGGAAACTTTGTGGATCACAATGGTCCAATCCTGTTGTGCATGGGCTTGCCATGAGTCAGGGGCCAACCTGACAGCAGCTAACAACAACCCTCTGCACAGTTTCTCCTGTTATTAACATCTGGCATTCCTGTGGTGCATTTATTGCAACTGATGAGCCAATATTGATACATTCTTATTAACTAAAGTCCCTCTGGAATTCACTCTCAACCAGTTTAATGAGGCTTCTACACCCTTCTGCCAGGCGTGTCTTCAGGTAGGTTGCTGATAACAGCTGATAGGCTATATCTCAGTTCTTTTGTGTATGGTGTGAGGTAGAGATCCAATCTCCCACCTCATGTGGATAACCTGTATCCTTTCCCCACCTCCTGGGACTTCTGATGTTGTCTTCCGTTTACACTGGGATTCACTTTTCTATGGGTTTTGATAAATGCATAATATTAGTTCATTTGCAAAAGGTAATACACTGCTACATTTCAAAATTTAAAAGGAACAAAAGTGGATACCAAGAAAAAGAGTATGTCTCTCAACTCCTATCTTCTGCCCACCTAGTTCCGCTCTTTGGAGTCAACTGGTATAACCAGTCTCTTGATTATCCTTCCAGAGATATTCTGTGGGTTGAGAAACGATAGGAACACACACACACAATTCCCTTCTCCCCTTTTTAATACAAAT